AAACGCTGCTGACCCAGAGCCTGCTAAGCTCAGCCCTGGTCTTTAGTAGGTCTGAGCCAACAGTGGCTCCTACTCACAGGTGGGCTCGGTCCGGACTGAGCTTCCCACTTCAGCTGTGTTAAGACAGAAGGGAGCTGAGCTGGGAAAGGCTGGCAAGGACACAGCTTTTTGGAGGATGATGGCAGCAGTCTGTATTGGGTATTTTTTTTCCCTCCTCTTTACGGATGGGCTGTGCCAGCACAAACCCTCTCCCCACTATAGTGACACCACCACGAGCATTGGTGGTGTCACTAGGTGGTCCTGCTCCGGCAGGTGGATTGGACTAGAAGATCCTTTGAGGTCCCTTCCAATCCCTGACATGCTGTGATTCTGTGATTTTGGCTTAAGATAAAGAATAACAAAAAATAAAAAAGAGCAAGTTAGCACAGAACCATGATCAAACATCAGGTGAGCTGTGAACCCAGGGAACTGAGGGTGGTGAGGGACTGGAACAGGTTGCCCAGAGAAGTTGTGGCTGCCCCATCCCTGGCAGTGTTCAAGGCGAGGTTGGGGCTTTGGGCAACCTGGTGTAGTGGAGGATTTTCCTGCCCATGGCAGGGGGGTTGGAACTAGATGATCTTTGAGGTCCCTTCCAACCCAAACCATTCTATGAATTGCATCACCTTCAACATGTTCTTACTCCACATGATGGAGCAGGTGAGGAGCCAAACCAACATCAAACAGCAGCAACCCTGATGGCACAGGAAAAAAAGGAGAAAGGGAAAAAAAAAAAACTTCCTGGTTTACAATCGTCTCTCGTGTACGTGAGTTCCTCCAGGCAGTTGTATGAATAGTAATGATGATTTTTGACTCTCCATTATCTCCTGGACTCAAAGTTAAGTTGTCTCTACAGATCAGTGGCACAACACCAACAGGAACCTCTCACCAGTCTTGCATCAATCAATGTGTTGATTTTTGACGCTCGCTTTATTCTATCATTGAAGAATAGAAAGGAAAAACTGCTTGGTCTCCTAAGCTGTGTCCATCAGCCTCCCCGCTGCCCGTGCCCACCTGGGCTGCTGCCCGCTCAGCGACACTATTCTTGGCTCTCTCTGTGACGTTAATCACTCTCATCACCACTTGCCAGCCTCTTATTTTTGTTCTCTCCTTTTTTGAGCTGGTGTGACCAGCCCCCACGTGGAGATGCAAACCCCTTACAGAACAGAAATAAATACCACCTGGAGTACAGGAAGGTGAGGGACAGAAAGAATTGGAACAACAGCTGGGAGCTAAGTCAATCTTTCCAAAAAACCCCAGCCAGGACAGTAGGAAGCCAGTTAGTCAGAGAAGCAAATACAAAATGAAATCTCAACGCAAGAGTAAGGCTTGCAAACGCTGCGAAGACTTAAAACGAGGTTCTGTGCTCTCCATCCATCCCTGCAGATTTTGGGATGGATGGAGAATCTGCACATAATCGTCCCATTGACGCAGCCTTTTACTGCTGCTCATAAGCTGCTGAGATTACATCCTAACTCGCAGCTTCCCAACGCGACAGACCGATGTGCAAGTGGTGTGATGAGGCATAAATGATTCCGGGCTCCGGGACGAGCGCGGTCCACCCTCGCTGCAAAAAGCAAATTAAAGAATTGGAGTTCTTGCTACGAGCTCAGTCTTTCAGGGCTTGCTCTGCCAGACAGCACCAGCCTGAAACCTGGCACACCGCTCACTTTCCCTTTTTTTTTTTTAATTAAAGACTAAGTGATGGTCCATTAATGCCCATTTTCAGCAGGGCGATAGGGAAAGTTCTTGTTTCTCATTGATCCAATGGTCTTTTTGTTCATCTCTCTGTCTCACTCTTCTCTTTCCTTAATACAAGCTCCCACCAGCTCTGACAGCACGTTCGTTGGCGATGCCGGCGCACGGGGGAAGGAGTAAGTTGTTGCAGGTGATATTTTGACAGAAAAGGACGTGGCCAGAGCTCCAGATCCACCCCGACGGGATTCCTTACTGCGGATCAGGGCTAACACACAGATAATGGTTTTACAGGGGACTCCCAGTTGCAGAGCCCTCTTTTTACTAAAGGTGAGAGACACTGAGAACGGAGCCTAATCCATCCCTCCAGAACAGGCTACGGCACAGGTTTTCCTTACAGAGAGAGCACCCAGGGCGTACTTCAGAGTTTGCTC